TCGAATTAGAGTTGTTTTTAATCATTATTTATTAGCCCACTGGTCCTGAGAAAGAGAGATATCCGCTCGTGCAGAGCTAGTAATCCGATGCATTACGGTAGGTACTTTACCACCCAAATAATTAGAGTCGATTAAAAAAGCGACACACCAATTCAGGGTGTTGCAAAGTCAAGATTTAAATTCAAAACTTTCCCTCCCAAACTAACTGAACCCCATGGCACATGATCGTCAGGATCAAGTAAGGAATACAAATAAAACGAGTACACGCTTTAAAAACGGAGATTTAATCCAAATAATTCGCATTGCAAGATTAAATTTAGAAAATGGTAGTTCACCAAGTACAAATATAACAATAGACTGGGAAAAAAGAACTGACCAAGAAAAAAACCAGCCAAAAAATTAATATTAAACTTTGTAGCAAAATTAGTTGTCTGTAATGACGTGAATGCATATTAGGATGGTTTTCAAGTAAATTAATATAATGTCGAATCACCGCCTCCACTGGCATTCCTAAAGAATTAACATTTCACACACATAACATAAAAACAATCATTAAAACATTAATGATACGTCAATTCGAGATTAAATATCGCCATCAAATATACCACAGTACATATTCGAAACAAGTCACCCTGCCAAATATTAATAATCATAATCACCCGGTTCAAATACATAGAAGGAGTATAACGTTAAGTATCACATTACAACAAAACAAAGTGACATGTGGCAAAACATTAGTATAAAGTAATTAATTCTCAATGCCAAGTGCAATATGTAACAATCAACCACGTAACGTACGTCACTCGACCCCAGACGAAGCACCCTGTAAATAAACAGTAACATCTTCATGCAAAAGAAAGGAGATGTGCTGCAATTATAAATTAAAATGTATAATCGATGTTTTCAAATACACCCCCTTCCACGAATCGCTATAATATTTATTATACTGTTTAATTCTGCATACTCGTATTGAATATCATCGCTAAGAGAACATACCGTATCTAAATATAAATAAAAACACGTAAATCGGTCAGTAATTCATATTGCGGGTTGGCAGGTAAAACCAGCCCTAGGAACCAAGAGGCATTGTACATTGAAAACCAACATATTCACGTAGAAAATAACATGGAATCTTGTATTTAATTCAAAGTGCGACCAGGATAATTATAATAGAGCAATTTGTATTTAGAATGGGTTATAAATGGCAATACTCATGCTACACGAGAATAATTGCGAAGATAAACGGGTTATCCTGTATAATGTTTTGGGGGATTTTATTACAAATGAGTACAGATTTGGTTTATTTCATCGGAATTTGTTATTTTAGTGTCTATTTTTTATTTTTATTTTTTTTTATTTATCATTTTAAGATTGATTTTAATTGCATAATTTTTTGTTTAAATTTTATCATTATTGTACACTTGATTATTTAAATTAATGTAAAAATTGCGTGTTAGAATGTAAAAAACCTCTGGTCGTTTTGCGATAAGCAACATTATCGGATGAAAGTTAATTGATTTCAAGACCCAACACAGAATACAGGCGCACGATATCTTTTGCGCGTATTTATGTTATGGAAGAGCATAATGAAACCGTTTTAGAACGTTATGTTTTTACCCTTAACTCAAGAAACCAGCTCAAGTGATCGAGTTCAGTGTAATAGCAAAGATGCTGTCAACGAGTGCTTTTATGTTAGTGTTACATGCGCCTGAATATCGAAAAACCATTGTTTAACCATATTACATGGATTCGTAAAAGAAAGACTTGTTTTTTGTGTGTCGACCATCTGCGTGTGGGGCTTTATTTCAAGTTTTTATTGATGATTTATTTGGAGTGTTTCGTTTTTGTCATCGTCAATTAATTAATTTTGTGTTTATTTGAATCCCATTGTACCACCCAGATAGAATTTTCGTGTTCAGATTTTTCTACAACAATAACTTTAAATTTATATTTTCTACTCACATCTTTAAAATGTCACATTTCGCACTGGCATATAGTGTCAGTGTGCTAAGCATCTTAAATACGACCACTTATTAGAAGCGCATTGGTGCAGATTCGGGTGTTTTCGGCTTTTGTTGGTATATGTATTTAGACCTAAATAAAATTTTGGCACTCATCGTAAGACGAAAATATAAAGTCATAAACTTCGCTAGATACTCGCTATTAAACACTCGGTTCGCTACGCTCTGCTCGTGCATGACATAAAACTCGTGTCTAAAGTGTCGTTTACAGAACTACATTATTTACTAGAGGTAAGCAACAAATAACACAAATTTCAAAGGGACATTGAAGATTGCAATGCCACATTTCCTTTTAAATGGACAAATCCGCTATAAACAATTGTGAGACGGGCGAGCGGGCCGAGCTCATCTTCGGCTGCCGAGCGTTACGCGTAACGACCACAGAATATACGAGTAGAAGCGTAAATAACTTTGCACTTATTTGCTTTGGTCTGGCAGTCACTCTTAATTTCCTTAAAACCATTAAATCACCCCCTCTGAACACAACCTTTTGTTTGAGCCTAAGGTTTTCTTTATCAACATAACGTTCCTGTTTCCTCCTAACCTACTGTAACTCTGGAAAATTGTCATCGTACCTTTACAGCATGAGTCGGAGTGCCACACGTCCAGCTAGCTCAACAAAAACTAAAACTCTACCACCATTCTTTTTTAAATAGAGCTATAGTCGCCCTCCAAAGGATTATTTAACAAATTTAATTAACACCTAACATGATCCTGAACACGAATAGAAAACCGTATCATGAGAACTCATATCCTGCGCCGTAATTTGGGCTCGATTAAACACAACATTTACAGATGGAGCAAATTTATTCGAAATGAATTAATCAATAACAAAGCTGAAATAATGAATAGCGCTGAGGGCCAGCAAATAAACACCACGCATAAGCGATCGATTGAAACAAGTTATATTCAAATAAAGTTTTAATTAACTTAAGGTTTAATCATCCTTTCTACATTCGGTCAGCTGGGATTCTCTTTAAACATTCGCAAATATAAATACCAACCGTTCCTCCACTCCTTTCTCTATTTACATAAACAGAATTTGTTACAATTAATGATGTAATAGTGACCTTCTGGTGGAGGTGGTGGTGGATGTGGTGAAAACCAAGAAAGTCTTCTCCGTGCAAAAATTCGACCGCAGACTATTTCGTAAGCGTGGCACAATCTTGAGCTAAACTCGAACTTTCACTTTTAAAAGGACGTAGTACAATCTCTTAGCACTAATTAACTCTTTTATATAACAACTTTTCTACCACCAAGACTGTCCGTCTTTCAAAAACAAACTCAATTACACCTGACTGCCTTACACGCCCACCAAACAACCCCGTTTCCCGTCTGCTTCGTCTATTTAAAACCTTCATTCCTGCCTTTCGTTTCCTTCCTCCTCATCAAATTAATGCGCGTCTTTGAATTAACAAACACCTGTGGTTATCTTTACGGCGAAACGAACATCTGCTTATCTTGAAACTTATCGCACTGACCGACTTCAAATTACAAATCAAAATGAACAAAGCGATTAATATCCAAAATAAATCTAAAACAAAATAATATTGACCTCGAACTCAAATAATATGAATCTCAAAAAACAACCACACTTAACTTTACTTTCACATTTAACTTTCACATCACACAGTGTGACCCATCGTTATATAAGTGCCGACTCCAATAAAACGTTCTCATGACCTAGTTTCCACAACAGGATATGCTGCGCACTGCATTCGAACAGAATTCAGGTGGTATCGACTCGTTGTGTAATGTGAAATCGGTTAGATATCGGGACATCCATTTGGTTGGTTTGCTGAAACCAAATTGGGGATTGTCCGGGTGTCGTTTACGGAAGACTGACATTTTTCCAAATCACACACTGGGAAACATGCGGTAAAATTTTAGTTATCGGAGATTGCAACAACTCATGTTTAGCTAATTCAATTTACCTGGAGGTAAGGATTATTCCGAATTTGTGTTTGGTTGTTTCGGTGTGAGGTTTATTTGCAACGGTTTTTGTTTCGGAAGGATTCGTCGGAAGGAGTTTTTTTGTTAATACCGTACCGCATAAGGGTTTTAAACGTTTCTTGTCAGGATCGTAGAAGGGGTCCTCTTTTTGTTGTTTTAGTTCGTTTTATTCAAGGTGGCTAGGGGCAAATTTACTTGATTCGGCAACCGAGTCATTTGTGTTGGAATTGTTACGTATTGAACGTATTGTTGGGACCCTATGATTAATCAAGCGGTACTTTGTGATCTTGTCCCTTATTATTTTACATTGTTATGTGCATATAGTTTAATATATATTTATTATGCTGGGAGTTCGTGTCGATTGTAAATATAAAAAACTAGTTTTCGTCACAAAAACTTCCGAGTTAAAATTACGATGTATGATCTTACTCTGAGTCTCTGGGAAACGCAAAATCGCAAAAGTAAAAGGTCGTAGGATTACGTAGAACGTGCTTCGTACTCAGGTAATTCGTGGATTTAAAATTTAAGGATGGCTGATAGAATTAATAAAGCGTCATTTTGGGGTGCGAATGAATTAGAAAAAAGTTAGAAAATAGGGATGCGTCAGAGAGAAAGAATGTAGAGAGGATTCTGCGAATAGCTACTGGAAGGAAAGTCGCGAGAGCAGTTTTTTATGCGGGTAGAAGAAACACTTCCTCTATGACTCAAATTGTCAGATTTCCAGCCAGTAGCTACCTGCATCAATGCACTTAAACGCACCTGATGTCTTGTTCCCTCCTTTTCCTTTTGGTAATAGATTGCATTCATAATATTTTTTCAATGAGTGAATCTGCCTGTGCAATGTTTTAATAATCTCGGAAGCAATATCATTACTACTCCCGTTAACCTTTGTCACATATACTACGAGAAGGCAAAACAAACCAACATATTATGCAACAGTTAAGATATTTTTTACTGGTTTTTATCATTTTCGACTCAGATAGCGAGATAGTGAAGTGTAGTATTTACATAAGTTTCTATGTAGCCAAGGTTTAAAGTTCTGGGAAAAGAGATGCGTACTTTTTGGACCTTATAACATAAGTAATACTATGCGATCAAAAATGAGTTGCTGTCGAGTCATCTGTGGAATTTTTGTTTATATGGGAAATCATTATTTAACTTGAACTTCCAAAGGCGACTCGACGTCAATCCTTTTTCGATCGCCCGTTATATCAAGGTGGTTTTTCTGTTACAGAAATGTCAACGGTTCAGAAACATTTGATGGATCATAAAGTGACAAACCTGCTGAAACAAATTCTAACCAATCAGAAGGACAGATACACAATCGAGATATCGAACGCAACAAAACCCGGTGAAAACTGGATGGGATTAATGAAGAGCGTAATAGTGAACTACCAAGACGACGACAATAGGAAGTTGTATCTAATTGCAAAATTGGCACCTCACCAAGACGTGTATAGGAAAGTATTTCCAATCAAAATTGTGTATCTCCGTGAAATTTACGTTTACGATTATGTTATACCCGAATTTCTAAAGTTGCAAGAGGAGAAACAGTTGGAGCAGATTTTTCAGCCCTTTGCGAGGTGCTATACGATATCTAGGGCAAAGGGTAACGAGGCAATCGTCATGGAGAATTTGAAAATCAAAGGTTTTGTGACGGGCGATCACCACACCGATGTAGACTATTCCCACGCACTGCTAGTCGTAAAAGAATTGGGTAGGTTTCATGCGATGTCCTACGCGATCCGAGATCACAAACCGAAGGTGTACGAGCGGTTTGAACAAGACTGTCAGGAGACTTTCTTTAATAGTCACATGTTTACACCCGTACTCACTATATTCAGAAAGTTAGGCGCAGCGGTGCTTAAGAGTTACGATCCTGTGAAAGACACGCGTCAGATTGAGTCACTTCAAAAGTCCCTCCAAAAGGTTCCTCGCGTTTTTCGAGACCTACGATGTCTACAAAGGTACGGAAGGTACTCTGTTGTAAACCATGGCGATGTACAAATGCGCAACTTACTCTTTAAGTACGCGGTAAGTACTTGAGACTTGAAAAGGATGACATCCTTGGCTTTCAGGACGAAACTCATCCACTTGTGCCCACCGAGTTGTGTATGATCGATTGGCAAGTCGCGAGAGTCGGTTCGCCAGCCTTCGATTTGCTATATTTCTTTTTCGTCTGCACTAATCGCGAATTTAGAGGCCTTCATTACACAAATTTATTAGAGGAATATTACAAAAGCCTCGCCGGTCTTTTACGCCAGCTCGGAAGCAAACCTGAAGAACTGTTACCGTATAGTGTACTACTTGATCACCTGAAAAGCTATGGGGCGTACGCCCTATACACCTCCATGTGGATTCTCTCATCTAACATGAAAAAGGAGCAAGATATTCCCGACATATACAACAGCATAACCGAAACGGCGAATGTCGATCATTTTTCCACTATTCCGAATGACGACTATATTCCGAGAATTCGCGATCTAATTGATGATTTACTGGAATACGGTTATGATTTTTAATCAAACATCAATCATACATTGGGCTGTAGTTAATTGTTAGTGTAATCCCATCCCTCTGCGATAGGTTGGTATCGGAACGCTCGTTCGTGACTGAGCCACGTTGGGACTTAACTTCAATTAACAACTTGGGAGACTAGGTGGTCTTGATCAATTTCATTTCATCTTTAATAACCCCTAACACAATTCTTGGACACGAGAGATATGAAAACTCTATCCGGGTCGCACAAAGGATTCGCATAAACACAATTAGTTGATTGAAAATGACATATGTGTTACCCCGCACGCAGACGGTCGACAAATAATATAAAAAAACTTAAAATTACTTACAGTTTCTTTGTCTCGTTAATCCAAATAATCTGGTACAATGGTTTGCGATATTCAGGTGCACTTAGCAAAGACACAGAAACACTCGCCGACAGCTTCAGGAAACCTCACTTCTTCTTTATTAAACTGAACTCAATGACTCGAACTGGCATAATAAATAAGATGAAAAATTTTCGCAATACGCACGATCACCGACTAAAGTCATGATAATCGGAAGCTTACTGCCACTTAGGCAACCAACCATGCACTATCTAAAATCACAACGTTGAAGTGTAACTTTTCCATTGAAATAAAATAATTTTGCGAGACAAATTCTTATTTTAGTGGTCCAGTGTTGTTACACAAAAACAGGCCACGTAAACGCAGTAAAAAAATAAATCTTACAGATTTAAATAGTACTTGGGTTTTTTTTATTCCGTGTTGCAATTGTAATTATTGTCAACGAATCCTTTTTTTTTTGGGGAAAACCAATACGCAAAATTAAAAAAAGATTTACCAATTCTTGTAATTATACCTGCTGTAGCGTTTATATCAAGGTAGCGACGAAGAAACGCCGAAACAAACACGACAATGAGCGACGCAGTGCGGCCCATCCCACACGAATTCCCGCCGGAAAACTTACACTTCAACGGTGCCATTTTAGATAGTGCATGGTTGGTTGCCTTAGTGGCAGTAAGCTTCATATTATCATTACTTTTGTCGGTGATCTTACATACCGTTTTAAAAGCTTTTCACATACTTACTACTTCCCCCGCCGAGGATTCTTCTGCACACTTTATTTCGAAACCGAAACCGAACTCCGTGTTCAACAAAAAAAAGAGCAGACTGGCCGAGAAGTTAACGTAAAAAAATTTACACGCTTTTTATCCGTCGCGAAAACAGCCGTAGCAGAAGTAACAGCCGTCCCGTTGACTCGTTGTCTTCAGTATTTACCGAAACACCACTTCCACCATAAAATAATCTTGTTCTGGAATTTCCAAAAACACCGTTAATCACAAAGCGCCATTTTTTGGCCTCCGTCTTAGTTATCTCTTAAGAGCGATAAAACACGTGCGTTACTTAATTTTCACCTGATAAAACTACTTATCGCAATCGGCCAGATGTGTCTTACTTGTAACAACTTATCTACATTGAACAATATTTCAAAACGATAAAATTAAAACGCGTGTAACAAATTTCTAAGAGGAAAAACAAACAACGAAATACCAATTTAAATGAAACGAATTAAGTTTGTGTAAACTAAATGCAATGCAGGTCGCGTAATTTAGATTACGATGAAAGGATTGTATGACTCCGATTATCAATTGGTTAAGTTGTAAAAAATAGAAGTCTCTAATTTATTATAAGGAATTCGGGTCTGTAAATAATTATTAGGTTCTCAGTGAAAAAACTTCAGAATGACGTTGGACGTGGTGGAAAGGGGCGATGGTGAAAACCAAGAAGAATATGAGCCCAAATGGGATTGCTGGAGTGGAAACCTGTAGAAAAGCCTAGACAAAGAAGGTTCTAATTCAAAAAAACAAAAAGCACCTTTGGAAGAAGAAGAACATGAAAGAGAGAAGCCGTACGAAAAACCGAAAGGAAGGTGGAGCGACAGAATTTGGCAAAAGAGAGGAAGAAAATGCAAGAGAAAGAAGAAGTAGCAACGCACAGCTGCCCTACCCCTAAATTGACTCATGACAATTTTTACTGCGAAAAAATCGGGGTAATTCATAGTTTCAAGTTGTTCCACCCAACTCTTTCCAATTCCGATTGAAATTTGAAACACTTTTCACTAGAAATTCACTGGAGAGTGAGACGAAATGGTTTAATAATATCATTACCTCTTTTCTTTTCACCAAAGTCATGTACCATAAAGAAGTAATGTTTAGACGTGAAGATCTATTGTAACAGGAGCCCGCTAGACCGTTTGAGTTTTTTTGAATTTATATATATAGGTCATCAAATTTGCCACTTCATAGTAAGAATAGTAGGTTTAATGACGGCAACGTGGTTGTCTAAGCGACGGCAAATTAATTTCGTTTCACAATCGTGTAACTAAAAATAGAAAACGAAAATTCGTACAAAATTGAAAAGTAGGAGTATGTCTTACGATGAATGTCAAAATGAAAAACTACCAACTTGATTTAGTTAGCAAAATTCAAAACTTCGAGCGTGTTTAAATGTCGAAAACACTCGAATCGGCACCAATCTGTATCTAAGTAGTTTAAAATGACGCTTGGTACCCATGCCAGTGCAAAATGTGACATTTTAAAAAGATGCGAGTAGCAAAAAATAAATTAAAGGAAGGAAGTGTACCAATACCGAAAATTTCTATTTCTACTTCCGTTACATTACCTTTGTTAGAGAGTTCTCCAAAAAAAACCTAGGAAGAACGTATAGAAATCCTGAAATACTTCCAAACATGTGTAGTCGGAAATCCTAAGAGTAGCCCAGAGCCAGCAATTGACGATCATTATGCCCAATGCGGAAATTTTCAATCTGTCGAATGGGACTGTAAGCTTTCATGGAAAACAGGTAGGAACGGGTCGGTTAAGTTGGCCCCCCCCCCATTAAACATTTCGTTATGATATGTAATAATGCGCTCGATATGCGCTCAAACGCGCCGCTGAAAGTAATTTTTGCGCTGTTAAAGTTTTTGAGATATTTTGAAAAACATTTGGGGGGTTCAAGTTCACGCAGCCCCCCCATTATGCAATTTGGTACATCTTATGATTCCAAATTGTGCCTGTAGTTATGCGCTAAACTGCGCCACTGGATTAACATTTTGTGCCACTACCGTATGGCCATAACGAAAGACAGAAGGTGGGTGGGGCTAAATTGATGGTTTTAAAAAAGTGCACTTTCTTAAAGATTCTTAGTGCTATATGTTCCCTTTACTTATGCGCTCAAATGCGCCGCTGAAACTAACTTTTGCGCTGTTATAGTTTTTGAGATATTTTGAAAAACATTTGGGGGGGTTCAAGTTCACGCAGCCCCCCCATTAAGCAATTCGGTATTACTGGTGATGCCAACTTATGCCTGTAGTTATGCGCTAAACTGCGCCACTGGATTAACATTTTGCGCCACTACCGTATGGCCATAACGAAAGACAGAAGGTGGGTGGGACTAAATTGATGGTTTTAAAAAAGTGCACTTTCTTAAACATTCTTAGTGCTATATGTTCCCTTTAGTTATGCGCTCAAATGCGCCGCTGAAAGTAACCTTTGCGCCGTTTAAGCTAAACAAGTTAAAAAGTAATCGTAAACGATTTACATGAAGCGCATTTCCACTTGCATTCATTTCCCACTTGTAAGATGCAACTTCTATAAAATCGTAAAAATCCGGCCACAAATATGAAAGATAGCGTTGCACATGGGCAATCCATTTTTGTCGTGCTACTTCAATGTCAGTTTATGTGAAGAATTTCATTTCAATGCTTTTCTAAATAAAAAGTTGGCACTGCCCATGCGCAAAATAAAATTTTGAAACTGGAGCTAGATTTTCCTTTATTCCAAGTGCCTATGTATCAAATTTCGTTTAAATTCTTCCATAAATAAAAAAGTTGGCACTGCGCATGCGCAAAACCAAATTTTAAAATTGGCGTTTGATTTTCCTTTATCCCAAGTGCCTATGTATCAAATTTCGTTTAAATTCTTCCATAAATAAAAAAGTTGGCACTGCGCATGCGCGAAACCAAATTTTGAAATTGGCAGCTGATTTTCCTTTATTCCAAGTGCCTATGTATCAAATTTCATTCAAATACTTTTATAAGTAAAAAATTTTGCAATTCGGTTTATAAATGGTCGAGATGCGAAAAGGGCACTGTGAATTTTGAATCGATTCGATTCAACTTTGGGCATTGCGTATTATATGGCTAAAGCTATGCCCATATTGAATTTCATGCAATTCAGTTCATAACTAACGGAGATGTAAAAACGATCGAACATTTCTAAACAAAGTTATCGTTCACACGGACAGATAGATGGACAGACAGACAAAGGAACAGACGGACAGACCAGCATGCAGACGACAGATAGCAATGCAAAATTATAAACGATCTCTAAAAAAAAAAAGTGTAAAATTATGGAACATGTAAAAAACGGTTTTTTGTTTTTTTTACAATAACTTTTTTTGTAAGCGGTACAGAAAAAATTCCTTCCTTGGTACAAGAAATGCGCATTTCCACAAAAATAAAAAAAAATGCGCTATTGTGGCCACTTTGTCCGTCCGTCCGGCTGTCCGTCCGGCTGTCCGTCCGTCCGTCCGTCCGCTCGTTTTGCGACGCTACTAGTTCTTTACCTTAAGAGCTATTGTTCTACTTTTTTCGCTATTTGGTTCGTTATGGTGTCGAGTCTTGTACCAAGGAAGGAATTTTTTCTGTACCGCTTACAAAAAAAGGTATTGTAAAAAAACACAAAAAACCGTTTTTTACATGTTCCATAATTTTACACTTTTGCCGTTTATTAACGATCCTAGAGATCGTTTATAATTTTGCATTGCTATCTGTCGTCTGCCTGTTGGTCTGTCCGTCTGTTCCTTTGTCTGTCTGTCCATCTATCTGTCCGTATGAACGATAATGTGTGAACGATAACTTTGTTTAGAAATGTTCGATCGCTTTTACATCTCCGTTAGTTATGAACTGAATTGCATGAAATTCAATATGGGCCATATAATACGCAATGCCAAAAGTTGAATCGAATCGATTCAAAATTCACAGTGCCCTTTTCGCATCTCGACCATTTGTAAACCGAATTGCAAACTTTTTTACTTACAAAAGTATTTGAATGAAATTTGATACATAGGCACTTGGGATAAAGGAAAATCAAACGCCAATTTCAAAATTTGGTTTTGCGCATGCGCAGTACCAACTGTTTTATTTATGGAAGAATTTAAATGAAATTTGATACATAGGCACGTGGATTAAAGGAAAATCAAGCGCCAGTTTCAAAATTTGGTTTTGCGCATGCGCAGTGACAACTGTTTTATTTATGGAAGAATTTAAATGAAATGTGATACTTCGGCGCTTGGAACAAAGGAAAATCTAACATTAGTTTCAAAATTTAGGTTTGCGCATGCGCAGTTCCAACTTTCTTATTTAGAAAAGCATTGAAATGAAATTTTTCTCATAAACTGAAATTGAAGTAGCACGTCAACAATGGATTGCCCATGTGCAACGCTATCTTTCATATTTGTGGCCGGATTTTTACGATTTTAATAGAAGTTGCATCTTACAATAATGGGAAATGAATGCAAGTGGAAATGCGCTTTATGTAAATCGTTTACGATTACTTTTTAACTTATAGCACCTTGTCTCGAACTCTCCCAAACTGTTCTCACTTTCGTATTTACAATTTCGACCTTGATTTCTAAAGTTTTGTTTAAATTAAATTGGACGTCGATTATCTTAAAAATGTAGCAGCTGTCAATTTTATCTACCTACTACTTCGAACATAGGAGAATTATATTGCATACAAAATCCTATGTTCGCATTAACAAAAAATTCACTGTATATGATCTCCATCAACCGTACTTTCAAATAATCAATCAGGTTAAAGTGCATACTAATTACAATCCCGCGCGATTTATTAATGCTGATGTGTGATGACATTTTGAATTTCTCGCAGAACAAAAAATTAAGGGTTGGTAACTATAATAGACACATATTTCAAAATATCTCAAAAACTATAACAGCGCAAAAGTTAGTTTCAGTGGCGCATTTGAGCGCATAACTAAAGGGAACGTATAGCACTAAGAATGTTTAAAAAAGTGCACTTTTTTAAAACCATCAATTTAGCCCCACCCACCTTCTGTCTTTTGTTATGGCCATACGGTAGTGGCGCAAAATGTTAATCCAGTGGCGCAGTTTAGCGCATAACTACAGGCATAAGTTGGCATCACCAGTAATACCGAATTGCTTAATGGGGGGGCTGCGTGAACTTGAACCCTCCCAAATGTTTTTCAAAATATCTCAAAAACTATAACAGCGCAAAAGTTACTTTCAGCGGCGCATTTGAGCGCATAACTAAAGGGAACATATAGCACTAAGAATCTTTAAGAAAGTGCACTTTTTTAAAACCATCAATTTAGCCCCACCTGTCTTTCGTTATGGCCATACGGTAGTGGCGCAAAATGTTAATCCAGTGGCGCAGTTTAGCGCATAACTACAGGCACAATTTGGAATCATAAGATGTACCAAATTGCATAATGGGGGGGGCTGCGTGAACTTGAACCCCCCCAAATGTTTTTCAAAATATCTCAAAAACTTTAACAGCGCAAAAATTACTTTCAGCGGCGCGTTTGAGCGCATATCGAGCGCATTATTACATGGTAATATCATAACGAAATGTTTAATGGGGGGGGCCAACTTAACCGACCCGGTAGGAACTTATATCTACATTGTAAAAGGTGTAAATATCTGGCTGTGTCAGTGTACAGTCATTGTTTAATTATCCCCTTAGTAGGCCATTTTTTATAAGCTTAGGATTTAAACCGAACGGAAAATAGCCTTGGCGCGTTACATATACCCGATACCCATTGACTGCAATAAAGTTCAAGGTTTTAGATATACGAGGTTTGCTCGTTAAAACCTAATGTGAAATTGTACACATTATTTGATGAGCAAGCCTCGTATTTTTATCAAATGAACCAGTAGAGAAATTTGTGATGAGAGAATTACATATGCGCCTAACTAATCCATCGAACAACAATCAAAACGTAAGGTCGTGTGAACTACTACGTAAATAAATACCGACAAAATGTAGACTTACTCGTATCTGATTGTTTCATTCTCTAGACATTGGCAACGGCTTTTGCACAGGTAAGTATTTTTCAATGCCAATACCTTCAAGCAGTAATAGAAGTTCCCAAATTTTCCTAGTTCCACAGTATCACATTTGCGCATTCCAAAGATGTCGCAATTGGTGGGTGAATATGGCGATGTGAAACGGAAGATCCTCTCCCTGATTAAACGTGTTTTAAAAGGAGACGTTGAGAATAATAAGATCGAAATAGCCAGCGCGTCCAAGCCCGGTGATAATTGGCTGGGGTTGATGTACAGCGTATCCATCGTAGATCAGGAGAACTCTGAACTACACTTAATTGTAAAGATGGCGCCTTATCAGGCGCCGTACAGAAACTTGTTTCCAATCCGGATAATCTACGATCGAGAGATATTCGTCTACGACAACGTTTCGCCACAATTTGTCCAGTTCCAGGAAGAGAAAGGATTGGAAAACATCTTTCAGCCATTTCCGAAGCACTACGCCACAACCATGCAAAGTAACAGTGAAGCCCTTGTAATGGACAACATGAAAACTAAAGGTTTCATTACTGGCGATTATAGCGCAGAAATCGATTACCAACACGCTTTATTCGTTATGAAAGAGCTTGGAAAGCTTCACGGTATGTCTTTGGCTATGAGAGATCAAAAACCGGAAGTCTTCAAGTATCTTCAGGAAAACTGCGGGGAAACATTTTTCAACAGTAATTTATTTGAATCAGTAGTAACCATGATAACCAAGTTAGGAAACATGGTATTAGAATCCTACGATCCCATTAGTGACAGTCTGTACATAGAGGCCTTGCAAGGTTCCCTCAAGAAGGTGGGCGACACCTTCGCCGAAAAGAAGCAAGTTGAAAGGTATGGTAAGTACGCAGTAATTAACCATGGAGACGCGCAAATGAGAAATTTTATGTTTAAATATGGGGTAAGTGTATTCCATTGGAAACCCATCGTACCATTTCCATCCTTAGGACCCCGCACGTCCGTCCACGCCAACTGAGCTATGCTTAATTGACTGGCAATTAACTCACGTGGCGTCGCCAGCGTTCGACGTACTATGGTTTATTTTTGTCTGCACCGGCCAGGAATTTAGAGAGCTCCATTACCGGGAATTGCTCGAAGTGTACTACGACAGCCTTTGCTCCCTACTCCGCCAGCTCGGAAGTGATCCCCAGAAATTGTTACCGTTTAACATTTTGACGAGTCATTTGAAACAATTCGCACCCTACGGATTATACGTAGCGATTTGGCTTACGGCGACAAACATGAGGGATATCCAAGATATTCCAGATCTATATAACAGTAGCGAAGCTGTGATTATCGATCAATTTTCGGTCGTTCCCAACAAAGCCTACGTCGACAGAATTCGTGGAGTGGTATCTGATTTTATAAAGTATGGCTACAATTTTTGAGCACTTGGTATAGCTATCATTCCCAAATAAAAAGGTGTTTGAAATATTGGTTCATATATTTTGATTTTTAATAGAAGAGCCCAACCATTCATCCATTTTTCCACAATACATAGTTCTGCTAGCAGTTTGACGAAGTAGTTGTTGGAAGATCTCTGTACTATCACTCCAAAGTTATCTAAATTACTGATGGCAAAAAATATGATATTTTCTTCCAAGTTCAAATGAACTCAACAGGGAACTACCGTAAAAAAAACAATAAAACGTAACCTAACTAATAATTAGGTACTAATTAGGTGCTAATTAGGTCCTAATTAAGTGGCCTATTCCCGAATTAGATGCTCCTTTTTTTTTCAATTATGATATGTACGTTCTACCAGATTCATATGAACTCAGTAGAACTCTACCTTAAAAAACAAAGAAAATGAAACGCGAACTTACTAATAATTAGGTGTTAATTAAGTGCTAATTATGTGCCCTATTCCCTAATTAAATGCTCTATTTTTGTTAAATTATGACATGTTCTTCCAGGTTCATAAGAACTCAGTAGGGCACTACCGTAAAAAAACAATAACACGTGACCTAACTAAAAATTAGGTACTGTTCAGGTGCTAATTAGGTCCTAATTAAGTGCCTTATTCCCGAATTAGATGCTCCTTTTTTTAAATTATGAAATGTTCTGCCAGATTCATATGAACTCAGCACTACCTTATTCTGAATTTTGGATTCTGAATTACGATACGAGGATGGACAAGATCAGCGCGTACTTAGACCTCAAATTGAGAAGGGGGGGCGGCTCTAATCGTAGCCATCTCCGGCCAGGGTTCTCCCAACATGGATCGTCTCAGTTGGACTAGAGCGGGATCTTGGATACCTCTGTAAGACACACGTTCTGAAAGCGCCTCTGTGTCTTTCAACAATTCAGTATTTTTCCAGAGTATCAGAGCGTTTAGAACTGTCTTGACCTTTCATTCTCAGGGAGTTTTAGGCACATTATAAAATTGGCAGTGAGTAGGTACCTAGGGTTTCCTCTGGGATCATAATAGGGGGCTATGAAGCGTAGTGCTTAGTACAGTGCCACAATGGAATTCGTTCCGGATACGTCCGGGATAAGCTACGTGGTCCTTACCCACCGATCACATGGCATTTTTAACGTAGTTTTATCATGAGATGGTACATATAGTAGACGTAAGTCGTTGGGACGATTAGAAGTGATAAGTGAAGTTGGCGTGTGGATCGATAGATTAGTCGTTCGGCTGGCGCTAGGGCACTATACGTCGTCTAGTACAAAAACAGTCGCAGATAGCCGCCCACTGCAAAACGTGTCTTTTTCTTCCCATGGGCTAAATAAAGATATAATAGCATAATTTGTGTACACCTAACAGCCGATTAGTTTTGCAGTTTTGCAATGATTGAAGTAATTTATTTGGGAAAAAACGAGCATTAGCTGACATCTTGTCAGTCCGAAGCGCCGGGAGATAATGAGCATTGAAAAAGTGGAAAGACGAAAAGGTACCGCTTTATATTTTTATCACTTACGTTTTATGAGAATTATTTATCGGCGAAAGAAACTGAATTGCGTGTATATTTTCACGTATATTAATGAAACTATTATTTCATTATTTAAATTTGCCTGTGTTACAAATTGTTTACTAGGATAATATTAATTAATCTGGCCAGTAGGGATATTTTTTAGTCTCGTTTGGAATTAAACCTTTGTGTAATAGATACTATTGTGGTAAAAACATTAACTCGGCGGACAGAGTCGACTTATCCTGCAGATAAAATTGAGCGTTTAAAATTTATACAGGCCGTCTCTGTCTAGTGTAGTATTACCTTTGTCCTGTGTTACCGTGCGAGCTTGAAAACGGAACCACCGTAAAATTCAGGACACATGCTGAATGGACAATCCTATGGAAGATACAAATGCTAGGGCCAGACCCAGACTAGAATACATGGATCATGTAATGATCGAAATGGTCTGTTGTACCTCCTACTTGGTACTGAACAGGTTAGCTGAAGGTCGAGAAGGATGGAAAACTGCTACAGACCAATCGTAAGGATTGGTGACTTAAGAGTGAATAAATATTTATTAACTTATAAATCAATCTACTTAAAGGCCGTTTTAATTTAGTTTCTCGTTATTAGTGTTAGTTCCTCTGTGAAGTTTAATAATTAACAGTACGTAAATAAATCACGTAATTAAATTTACGCTACAGTACCTACAGAAAACAATTGCGGGAAAATACTTAAAAATTGAAATGAAGGTTGACTTGGTAGATGGACGCGTGCTTGCAATTTTCTATGCTAATTTATCGATTTTTTTACGCTTAGTAACTTCTTTTATGTGACAGGATACAGATCTTCCAACAATTAGCTTGCCAAACGGAAAATTATTTATTGAGACTTTAACACATAAGTTGCAAAATTATTACAAACAAATCAATATTATTTTTAGAACGTACGTGCAAATAATGTAAAACAGTCATTCTTAAAAAAAATCGCCCGCATGATTGAAGAGAATAATAAAAGATTTGACGCAATAGTTAACGAGATAAAAGAAGAGTTGGAACACAAAAATAATGTTACCTAACTATTAATAGTCTTGGTATAGCAGAAAAATTCTAGTCGAGTCAAGGACTTATCAAAATCACCGATGTATGAGAGGGAGGATTAGTTGAGGGAGTTCCAAAACCGATCAGGCCAAAATTAAATTTTTACGATGTTAGGGCTCCTTTGGATGAATAGATTACTTTATAAACAATAGTGAGGAAAAATTTAACGAATAACAACGAAATGATAAACACAAAAGAATATTTAATTAAATCTTAAAACAGACCAAAGAAACAAAAAACGGTTCGCTGTATTTTATAATCAGATTTAGAAACAAAGGTAAAATGGTTGTTTTGAAAGAATTTATGTCAACTGAAACCGTTGTAAAATTTAGAATGTTGAGGCGATGATGAGATGTTTGTAAGAAAATATAAAAGTGGTAACGTAGGGGTGGGAGCTTTAGTTGAACGTTTCGGTTTCTGGGAAAGTAAAATAGGTCGGTTTTTGAACATTTGTACTTAGGAGTTACTCTAAAGGCCGAATCTATGTAAAATATTTTCAAAATGTCCGCACTTCGGGAAACACCGGAAGTAGATAGTAATTCCGTTATTTTAAACAGCAACCCTTACTTTTTATTGCATTTTTGGATTCTACGTGAAATTTCAGTTTTTTTGTGTTACATTATTTCTGTACAGGTTATTTAAAGTTTTATTTTTACGTAATTAAAGTGACTCTCAAGTACGAATGATGTGACTGAATGGGAATGCATTTAAAGGAGAATTGTTTATTTCAAGTTATTGTAGCCGAGTGTGCATTTCAAATATAGCCGCTATGACGCAGAAAGAGAATTAAACGTAATTAATAATCGCGACGTAAATAGAATTGCATTCATCGTATGTAAATATGTAAATTAGGGTAAAAAACTGCATAGAAATAACGAGTATTAACGCTAAGGTCAAAGTCCGAGTCCTTGTAAATAATAATTAATCTAGAGCTAGTAGAACCACTTAAATCCGCCTATTCTCTACCGCTGCCAAAGTGTCAACAAAGGAGTCACGGGCGTTCAAGTTATTTATACATGTGAGAGTTTGCGCGATAAAGTGAATTGAGGTCAGTGGATACAAACTGCGAAAGTATAAATACGGGAATTTCAAGCACCAAGGGGGAGTTGCCCGCCGCCTTTTTACGGAGCAACATCTATGTCAGTCGCGCCCGCAAAGTTATAAGCGCGGAGTTTAATAATAGAGCGTTAAGGCGATCTTTGTAAGAAAAGAAGCAAAGGAACCGAGTGAAATCAACTCGATCGAGCCAGCGCAGAAGACGAAGACGATTCTTCAGAACACGCCGAAGAAAATTGGGAAGTTGCGAGATTATCGAAGGCGAGTATTCCTTGTGTTACCGGGCGGGGTAACGTAAGTGGCAAACGGAGGTTGAAAACGTATATTACACAATATTTACAAATAATACAGAGGCTATATGTACATATATAAGATCGCTTCTGGCACGTGGGATGGCGCCGGACTTGACTACGGTCAAGCCGGGAAGTGATGGCGTGCGGAGACGGTACTTGAGCCCAAGCGACCAGCCTCAGTCGCTTGTGTAGGGTAAGGTAGGCTTGCCCAGGCACAAGTGAAGTTCCCCTGTCGGTGCGCTGCTTATAAACGATTTCCGGTAGAGGCGTCTGGCGACGCGGCCAATAGGGCGCTAGTGGATGGTGGGGTGGAAGTTGCAACCCCTCTCCTAGTCGTCGTAACAGTATCCCCCCCCTGTAAAGGGGTTGCGACGGCGGGGTGCAGGCGCTGTAGCAAACGGCGGTGACGGGGTTGTCGTTGGTTCCGTGGTGGCGTCGGTGAAATGATTCTTGGCGGAAGTTCCGGTACTGGTGCCGGGGTGGGTTGGTTGGGTGCAGGGCGTAGATCGTGTACGTGCACCTTTACCAGTTCGTTTCCTCGCCTTATCCAGTACGCGTTTGTGCCCGCCAGCGCTTCGATGGTGTAGGGACCTGTGTACTTCATGTGAAAGTTCCCGGAGTGTTGGTCCCTGGATCTTTCCATCACTCCGTCGCCTACTTGGTACTGGGTGCGGGCTGGCCCGTAGTTCGCGTACCGGCTGCGGGATCGTGCCTGGTTCCTGTGCACCGTCTGTACGACCTCCTCTCGGGCTTCTCCTGTCGGTGGAGGTGGTCGATCCCTGGCTTTCCACTCTCCTGGCCTGGGTAGGTCGTAGCCTAGCAGCGCGTGGCTCGGCGTGAGTCCAGTAGCGGCGTTTCTCCTCGTACGTAACGTGAACATGACAATGGGTAGTACGGCCGCCCAGGCGCTGGGGCTTTGTCCCACCAGATGAGTGCGGAGGCCCTTTTTGATTTCTTGGTTCCGGCGTTCGACGGGGTTCGCCTGCGGGTGCCATATGGGCGTCGTCCAGTGCATTGCTCCCCACTTCCGAAGTGCCGCGTCCCATGTCACTGATGTGAATTGCGGTCCGTTGTCTGAGATGATCGC